CCCCAGGAACATCAACAATGTTCCACAGCTTCAGGTCGTCAGCAAATAGCAGCGACGGTACCTCAAGCTCCGCGGGTAGGTCATTCACATAGATAGAGAACAACAGCGGTCCAAGGACCGAGCCCTGCGGCACGCCGCTGAGGACAGACTACCTAAATGATAGGCCCCGACCTACCCGTACACACTGTTCTCTACCCTCCAAGAAGGCAGTCACCCAATGAAGGGCGCGGCCAGACACCCCGTAGGAGGACAGCTTTTGCGCGAGCCTCAAATGGGGTACCTTGTCAAATGCCTTCGAAAAGTCGACGAAAAGCACGTCCAGTTTGTGGCCGTTATCCACTGCATCCGCCCAATTTTCGCGAGCCACCAACAGATTCGTCAGACACGAAAACCCCATCCGGAATCCGTGTTGTATATTGCTAAGTAGATTAAATCTACTCAGATGACTCTCCAATGAATCTCTCACCAGTTTCTCGAGGAGTTTGACTACTACACTCGTCAGACTAACTGGCCTGTAATTTGCAGGCAGACCCCTATCTCCATGTTTGAAGATGGGACAGATGACAGCTTCCTTCCATTCGGAAGGCAATCCACAACTGGCAAGCGATTTCTGAAACACAATAGCGAGCGGTCCACTTGGTTCCGCAGCTAACTCATGCAACAGTTTCGGGTGAATTAAATCAGGCCCAGAGGATTTATAAGGGTTTAGCCCTTGTAAAAGCCTACGAACTGCAGTCTCCGTTACAAAAAATTCAGATAGTTCTGAACCCTCTGGGGTCCTGCAAACCAGCTCAACGCCTGTCAGAGGTTTCCCTTACAAACGCTGCCGCATATTGCCCACTGAGTACGCTGGCCTTGTCATAATCCGTATACGCATGAGTACCGTCATCACGCATCAATACTGGAATTGACATGTTCGAAGCGCAGCGCCTTTTGACATAAGCGAAGAATCTTTTTGGATTCTCTGAAGCTTCGTCCGCTAACCCTTTTTCAAAATTGAGCCGAGCATTCCTTAGGTGTTGCTTACACCTATTTTTAGCCTTACGGTACCTGTCATAAGTATCGGTGGACGGAGCATCTGGGTAAGTCCGCCAACACCTAGACCTCTTTGTGAGCAGATGCCTGCCAGTGGGATCTATCCAGGACGGCTGTGCTCGGGCTATGACCAGTACCATTTTAATCGATTCAAGTTCAAGTTCAAGCGGGACTGGAACGATAGGATAGATCCCGTGAGTGTTCCTTCTTCGGCGGGTCGTTGAACCAGGAGTTGGCGAACTTTGAAATACTGATGGACCTAAAACAAAGACCGCATCACACCCTGTCCAACCAATTAATGCCCACGTATCCTGCCCTAGCAGTCCCTGCTGGGTCGGTTACGTGAAGTAAGAAAGAGAAAAAGTAAACGCAGGAGGCAAAAGAGAAAGTGATAAGAGCTAAGCAAATGGAATACCAAGATATTTGAGTCAATAAAAAAAGAACTGAAAAATGAAGGTGAGTCAGCTAGGAAAAAGGAAAGGTTTGCTGTTGCCACCCAAGAGCATCGAGCTGGCGCGCAAAACCCTTAACCGTAGGTTCCCTAACCACGTGATCTGGAAGAGAATTCCAGCGGTCTATAACTCGGCGCGATAGACGAGTTTCCGTCCTAATCCTATCAGACCGTGGTTTATGCAGTTTCAGTGGGTGACGGCGGAGACTAGGTAACGTAGCGGGACTAAAAAGCCCTGACAAGTCCGGGCCAATCTTACCCGTCAAAATACGATAAGTGAGAATCAGGTCCCCTCTTATCCCTTCGGTAGTGCATGGAGTACATCCCCAAACTGAGCAAGCGTTCAGGATACGTCTGTCCCCGTAGACCCTGCACTAACCGAGTGCCCACTCGTAACACCCTCTCCAAGTCCATTTTGTCTCGGTTAAGACATGGTGGACAAGCCTGAATACAATATTCCAGGTGGGGTCGGACGAATGCCGAAAATAGCTTCACAAACAACTTGGCCGTTAAGATTCCGAAAGAGCGGCGGATAAACCACATCATACGAAACCCTCGACAAGCAGCCTTCTTCCAGTTGTCTCCAGAATGAAGTGCTGATGCGTGTACGACTCCTAAATCAACCTGCTGAGTGGACAACAGGGAGTTCACCTACAACATATCGGGTGGGGGGATTAGCAGCTCCGATTCGGAGAACAGAGCACTTGGCCCTATTTATGGGCATCAACCATAAGATAGACCATTCCCAGAGTATATCCAAGGCACGCTGAATTGCCTCAGGACCCCCCGGGATATCCACAATATTCCAGAGCTTAAGGTCGTCAGCAAACATTAATGATGACACCCCTAGCTCTCCCGGCAAGTCATTTACATAGATCGCGAACAACAATGGCCCCAATACCGAGCCCTGCGGAACGCCACTAAGGACAGCTTGCCTGAGCGAAAGGCTACGCCCCACCCGTACGCACTGTTCCCTCCCCTCAAGGAAGGCAGACACCCATTGAAGGGCGCGACCAGATATCCCGTAAGATCTCAACTTTAGTGAGAGCCGAAGATGTGGAACAGTGTCAAAAGCTTTCGAAAAATCTACGAATAGCACGTCTACAGCGTGGCCACTGTCTACCGCTTCGGCCCAGCTTTCACGAGCTACAAGTAAATTAGTCTGACATGAAAATCCTTTGCGGAATCCATGTTGTGCAACACTGAGAAGGTTGAATCGATTCAGGTGGTTCTCCACTGAATCCCTTATCAGCTTCTCGAACAATTTGACTACTACGCTTGTCAAACTGACAGGCCGGTAGTTCGCGGGTAGAGCGCTGTCACCGCCCTTAAAAATCGGAGAGATGATTGCCTCCTTCCATTCCGAAGGTAGGCTGCAGCTGTCCAGCGATATTGAAAATACGCACGTGAGCGGACCACTCAGCTCAGTGGCCAGTTCATGCAACAGCTTCGGATGAATTGAATCAGGACCGGAAGCTTTAGAGGGATTAATGCCTTGCAGTAGCTCGAAGACCTGAGTCTCCGTTATGCTAAATTCAGCTAAGCAAGAATCCTCTGGAACTCTTGAAACCAATTCAACCTGCGGTAAAGAGGTCTCCCGAGCAAAGACCGCAGTATACTGATCACTCAGTATACAAGCCTTGTCATAGTCAGTTTGCGCACGGGTCCCGTCTGCTCGCAATAAAGCTGGTACAGACAATTTTGCTCCGCTGCGTCTTTTAACGTAAGCAAAAAACTTCTTGGGATTAGCTGCGGCCGAGTCCGCTAAACCCTGCTCGTATTGGAGACGAACAGTTCTGAGATGTTGCTTACATTTATTTCTATTCTCTCGATAACTATCATAGGTACTGGCTGATGGAGCTGCTTGGTAGGTTCGCCAGCATCTAGACCGTTTCTTGAGTAGGTACTTGCCTGTGGTATCTATCCATGGAGGCTGTGCCCTTAACCCTCTTTTCCTAATGAGTGGAATATAGGGTGCGGAAACCTCCGTAAGGTATGCCTTAAATTTATCCCAGGCTAACTGGACAGAGTCAGCCATCGAAATCTCACAGTTCAGAACTGAAGCCTTAGTTCGCATTGCACTAAAGTCCGCCCGCCAAATATTCGGAAGTAATTCAACAGCTGTCTCTTGGTGCCTTGAAAGAGCACATCGAAAGGATATGCATACGTGATCGCTGGACCCTAGAGGTGCACCGCACGAAACGTCAGTCACGAAGTCCAGGGACTATGCGAAAACAAAATCCAAAGTAGATGGCATTTGGTTGTCCATATACCTAGTTGGAAAGTCAACGAACTGGTGCAAAGGCACTTGGAGAGTCAGTTCAAGGAAGTCTGCACCGAATGTTCCTAATGCCGAATTGCAAGAAAGATAGGCCCAACAGACTTCCGGGAGGTTGCAATCCCCTAGAACTAAACACTTATTCGCAGACTGAGTGCGAATAAAGTCAAGTATCCCCCTGGAGGAACTTCCAGGACTTCTGTATAACACTATAACTGTAAACTGGGTAGAGGAAGTGCACAAAACAGCCGATAGGGCTTCAACAGTCTGATCCGACGACTGGAATGTGCAAGTCCTCAACACATCTAAGTTACAGCTCACATTCAGTACAACGCCTCCGCCTTGGCGACTAACGGAGCGATCAGTTCTAAGCAGCGCGTAGCCAGGTAAATATACCTCACCGTCCGTGATATCCGGAGACAACCACGTCTCAGTGAAAGCAAGTATGTCGGGACGAGATTTGTCTACAAGTAGACCCAACTCGTGCACCTTGTTCCTTAGGCTACGCACGTTGCTAAGTACTACCTCAAGGAAGTCGGCACGACCATCCCTGGGCCGTGCGCCATCAGGATTGGTTCTGATAGGGCGGAAAGTAATTTCCGGCTGACCACCTGAAAACCCACCAGACGGAGGCCTTGCTCACCAGCCGCCCGTCTAGTTTTGAGGTCTTTAATAGCCTCATTTAACTTCAACCTATCTGCCAGTGGGAGGTCCGGCTGAACGCTGACACCACTACCCTTAAGTTTGAATGCAAATCGCAGTAACGATTTGCGTTCCTCCGGGGTAGAAAGGACTACGCGAAGTAGTCGGGGTCGTGGATTTGGCGTAGCGATAGGAACGTTCCCCAATCTGGTCAGCTTTCTGACAGTGACACCAGGGAAACCAGGTGGAAGCAGCTTGCTGACACACAGTTTCAGCCACTTGATGTCATCCAAGATGCGTTCCCTTGGGAGAACAGCCTCAGATTCAGTAACGTTAAGGAATATAACGCTACTATCCGTGAAAGAGTCGGCACGACGGGGAGTGTTTACCCCACGTGCCTTTGATTCGACACCTATACCAGCTGTTTTCACCACTGGCGGTGGGACTGTCGCTGGCTTCAAGATACATTAGATCAGAGGAGTTTGACAATAGTCAATTTTGGCTTAAAGTGTTTACTCAAACACCGTTTTTCCAATATTTCAGCAAAAAAACGCAGTATGGCACGCCACAAAATCGTTAACGTGTAGTACTCACAGAGGCAACTGCCAATGGTGCGGTGTACAAATTTTCAAGTTCAAGCGAGACTGGACTATCCAGTGAGTATTCCTTCTTCAGCAGGTCGTTCAACCAGGAGTTGGCAGACCTTGAAGTGTCTATGGACCTAAAACAAAGACTGCATCACACTGCATCACAACCGTGCTCCACAACGGTCGGTGATCAGCAGGCGACTGGGAGGTTGCCGTAGCGTACAACGAGCAACTTTGCTTTGGTGAAGGAAAAGCGAAGATGACATTGTGATCTAAGAGCTGTTAACGTGGAGAAAAATGCCATGGGTTGCAACGCGGACCTAGGTTGATGTGAGTATGAGGATAGTTTGAATGCACCGCAACATGCGTTAGCGGATTCAGTCGCTGTCATGGCTGTCGACGATTCCGCTGCTTTCCGTGCTGTCTTCCTTCAGCGTGTGTACCGCACTTTTGAGAAGTGCGAAAGTGACTTAAAGCGCTTTCAAATGCGTACTGTAACATGTTTTTTTCAAATCAGATGTCCTGACATCGGATGCGTATTGGAGGAAAACCGGGAAAGCGTTGCCTGAGAGTGTGCGGTACAGTTCCGCACACCATAGATGCGTCAATTGTTGCCAAAGAGGATACACATGCAAGCGGTAAGGTGACATGTAATGTTTGTCAGACGCTTATTACCTGTAGGTACAAAAGTTATGACTACAAGGCGCATATTGTCATACGGCATAACGGCTGGTGCTACGAGATAGTATCCTACAGCGTTGAGCACAGCCATACCTTTCAGATAGGAAAGCCGTTTCTCTATGTCACCAACAGACGGCTCCCGCGGCAAGCGGAAGAGGACATCTATCGTATGATGAAGTCGTTTAAGGACACACGCGAGCTCAGGAGGTATGCGTTGACGCACAACGGTAGAAGGTTGAACCGTTACGACCTCAGAATCATAAGGGATAAGATGAGAGGAAAGGTGGAGGGGAACTCGGTGGATGATTTACACGAGTTACTAATGAAACTGTGGGAGCAGGAAACTGTCCCAACCGATCGGAGCCGCCCCGTCATAGTCCCAATTTTCAAAGGAGGCTCACGGTCGGAATCCGGCGGCCATAGAGGAATTAGTCTGATCTCCATCGCCTCCAAATTGTTTGCCTCTGTCATCCTTCACAGACTGACTGGCACTCATGAAACCCAGATTCGTGAAGAGCAAGCTTTATTTCGTCGAGGTCGTGGCTGCATTGACCACATCTTCACCTTGCGTCAACCTTTGGAGTACCGTCACATATATTGGCAGCCCACCGTTGTCGAGTTCCTCCCTATCAAAGGTGCATTCGATTCGGTGGATGGACATACACTTTGGACTGTCTACTCAGGAGAGGTGGGCCCGAAAAATATGTGAATATTACCCGATCATTATATGCGTGTAGCTCAGGCAGAGTGAGGGCTTACGGCAAGTTGTCGTCGCCCTTTAGTATCTCCAGGGGCGTGAGACAAAGATGCCCGCTGTCACCTTTCCTCATTAACTTCGCTGTTGACGAAGTCATGGAAAATGCGTTTACAGGACAAGCATTAGCAGGTGTGGATCCACTCCCAGGAGAATGACTGCTTGATTTAGAGTATGCTGATGATATTGCCCTCATCTGTGACGGCTCACAAACGTGCCAAGCGGCACTGGACAGATTAGCACTAGCTGTCCGTCACTTCGGGTTCTGCTTCGCACCCGCGAAGTGCAAAACGTTCCTCCAAGATTGGTCTGGACCGCCCCCTACGCTGACCCTTGGTGGGGAGCAACTAGAAGTCGTTCAGAAATTCAACTACCTGGGAAGTTGTATCAGCGCCCGTGGGAGTGAAGATGAGATCACAAACCGTATAGCAAAAGCTCGGGGCGCTTTTGCTAACCTTCACCACTTATGGCGCCAGCGCGACATCACTCTGGCTCTGAAGGGTAGAGTGTACAATGCAGCAGTACGTTCGACCCTACTGTACGATTGTGAACCCTGGCCGCTTAAAGCAGCGGACCTGAAGAGGCTAGTTCCGTTCGACCACCGGTGCCTTCGTACTTTAGCTCACATCTGGTGGGAACACCGCGTGAGCAACGAGCGTGTTTGACGCCTTGTTTATGGCACGGGAAAAGGAACTGAATCGCTCAGCACCATTATTTCACGCATCAGGCTCCGATGGTTTGGCCACAGGTTACGCATGCCAGCCCACCGACTTCCGCGGCGTGCGTGGTTTGCGCGCCGAGGTTGTGGATGGAAGTAGAGGAGGGGTGGCCAAGCGATGACTTGGTCGAGAAGAATGAAGCCCCTCACTTCTGAGCTGGTCTCGGTTGGAGCGTCTCGGCCCCCTGGTTGGGGTCCGAAAGACGATGAACACGTTTGGTTGGACACACTTGCTGAAATGGCTAGCGGCTGACCTCAGTGGGGTTCGTGCTGTGAGTTTCTTTGTTCCACCCCATCACTCTTAAACTCCCCTCCAACCACGATCTAATTATTCAACCTTATATAATTTTGCATAGTAATTTTTTATGCATAATAGCCGGCTGGTAGCTTACTGGAGCGATGCCCATCCGTTGCCGGTAGCTCATCCGGCTGGCCCCAGTTGAATTCTTTTTTCTCCTTTGTGCTGTGTATTGCGGCACAGTAGCTAAGGTGTTTACCTCTAGCTAACATGTATGATGGTGATTGCTGGCGGACGCGGCACACCAGATGAACTGCGGTGGCGACATACTGTGGCACTGCACGTTGGTAGATGTGCATAGTATTTAACGTTCAGTTTTATACGCGTTGCTTCATAATGAGACAACGGCATCCTACATGAACGCAGTGCGCAACATGCGGCGGATGTTACCAGCAAATGAGACAGCAAGGACGGTAGTGATTGATAAGTGCATGGCACAGGTGCATGCATTCCAAATAGTTTACCCCTGTACGTGGATAGTATTTTGCCGTGTCCAGTTATTGAAGGATGTCACCCGGATTTGCAACGAGTTATCAGCGACAAGTGCAACGGACAGGTTGGTTATTAAGCGGTGGGTACGGAACTTAGTGTATGCCAGGAGCTCCCGGTTGTTCATTAGGTATTTGACAGCCATTAAATACCGAAGCGCCGACGCGCATGGGCACTTAGTATGGACCTGGTTACCCTATGTCTAATCATGGGCGGCGCACCGTTTGACGTCGACCTGTTCGTTTGGCTGTTTTGCAATAAACAGCGCGGAAAACGAAAATAAGCATTTAAAGAGCGGTCTTTTCCCGCGGACGTCTTTATTAGGCCTGTTTACCGCGGTTATTAACCGCATGATTGATGCTCAAGATCAGTGGAAAGATGTCATGGGCAAAACCGAATTGTCTGGGCATCCAATAGACTCTTGCTCTCATAGCCTTGGGCAGGCTGTGTTTCAGTTTTCATGGTATGCAAGGACGCGCCTACGATGTTATTACACTAGGGAGAAGGTGACAGTGACCGAGTTGTCCGATGGTAGATGTGAAGTATAAGGTACCCTTAGACGGTCCAACATGTTGATGGGTGAGGCGATAACATGCCAATGCAGCTTCCGTCGGCTATGGCTGCTGCTGTGCGCACACATTGTGCATGCATTGCACGCGGCAGGCAGACCGCTTGACGATAATTTGCATAAAATCTGGTAGGTTGTATCGCACGCGCGACACCCGCGTGTTACCGCATCCATGTCTTCCGCCATCCTCCCCCTACCGTCGAGTTCTACAGTCTCACCGGTAAGTAGGGAACAGAAGATTCGGGAATGCAGTCAGGTTCTGGGTGATATTCAGGCGCAAGTTTGCAGCCATGGCGATGCGAAGTATAGGGAGGTTATGGATCATTTGCGGTAGTTACTACGGAACCTAAGCAACCCTGACGAGGACCTTTTGCTTTCCGCCTCCGCAAACCTAATTTATTCAGCTGCGGAAGGGACGAGTGAACCTACCAGGGAGGGCACAAGACGTAAGCAATGTTTAGTGCCCATTCCAGATTCGTCAATCGGTCCCGAACATGAAAGGAAGGCACTTCGTTTTAGATAGTTGCACACGAAATACGCCAGGGTGAATAAGGCTCCAAGCAAGCGTCGTTGCCATGCAAAACGCCCAGCCAATTACGATAATGACAAGTGCGCTTCGTGCCACCAAACTGACTGCGAGGCACAGAGTGGACAGGTGGTTGACTGTGTCATGTGCTTTGACTGCGGCCTTTGGTATCATCAGCTGTGCGCCTCGTACAGAGGACAGGACCATTTCACCTGTCATGGGTGTTTGTACGTCCTTCTTTTTCATATTGCTACATTTTTCGTTCCTTTAT